TAGAGCCTCCTTGACCTCACCAATAGATCTTGGTGAGCCCTCAGCTCCCTCTGTGTCGCCAGTCAGGCAAGAGGAAGGAGCGACACTTCCTTCCCTCTTCCTCCTGCCCCTTCAATGTTGAGACACGCCGGCGGGCGTTCCCACTGTCGCGTTCCGCACCGCGCCACGTAGTCTCTCGAGGCTAGGACACTTCGCCACAGTGTGGTCCCCTTCTCCGCAGAGGAAACACTCCATTCTTCGGCGTTCCCCGTTCCGATAGTTGTCTTGAGGCATCGGCCTGTTGCATTCCGTAGAGTAATGACCCAGTTCGTTGAATCTGTTACAACGGCCTTGTCCTCTTGGGCGGCTGCACCCGATGCGACTCAGGTGTGCCGCGCCGTCCCCTTCATCGTTCCTGCTGGTACTCCGTACTTGAATAGTCACGCCACCGTATGACGGAAACGCATCCATCGGCATTCCCACTGGCGTCGAAGCTGGCGGAGGTAGCGCCACCCTGGGAGCCATTGGCCCTGATACCCGAGCATCGGCGTGCTAACCGGTCGCGTCTGACAGCACAAGGCGTTCCCTGTAGACGCCGATACTGGGCGAGACACAGGCCTCGCCCCCGCAGGTCGTGGCGTTCTCGTCGGCGTTCCAGCTGAGGCAGACAGCCTCTGAAGTGCCCGACTGAACGTGTCGACCAACATCTCTTACAACGCAGAGTCCGACATCGGCGTTCCGGCCCTCCTTGTCGGCGTCTCCGCCGCCCGAACTGGAGTCATTCCTTGGCTTCTAGGCGTGCCACTCTCCGGGAACGCCGATGCAGCAACACTATGGCGTTCCACCACACGCGGAGACAGTGCCTCTCCGTCCTCAAGTGTCGAACGCCAGACTGGCTGGTGTTACTGTCGGTACCTCGCCTCACGTCTCACTCACAAGAAGTAGCGACTGCGTCGACGCATCGAAGGGAAAAGCGTCTCCTTGCCGAGCTCTCGGGGTCGATATCGCGGCTTCCGCGGTCTCACGAGCCGTCGCCCTCGCCGGAGTCGGCTCTTCGCTCGGCGCTGATTGGCGTGCCAGCCGCGCGAGGAACTGACTGAACATCTCTCGTCCCCGGGGCGTGTCCAACACCGACTCAGCCATCCTTCTAGTTCTTGGAGACAAAGGTTCAGACCCGAGCGCCCCCTCTCCGTCCATTCGAGCCTCCTGACTCTCGGTCCAAGGTTCGGTTCTTCTCGGCGTTCCTCGTTCCGAGCCACCGTTCGAACCGCCCCCAGTCGGTGTCTTTTCGCG